CCCGGTTGTCGTCTCCAGCTTGCACTGGATTGACCACATGTAAAACACTCCACTGCTCTTCTTGGTTAGGGATGTAGGTAGCAGTTTCCTGATGGACACAATGGGCGGCTGCCCTGGGCTGTTGTGGTGGTTGCCTTTCCCAGCTTCCCCGGTTCAATCAAGGGCACTGGTTTTTGTAATGTCCTGGTTGCTTAATGACACACTGCAGGGGGTCGAGGTGTTGCTGCTGGGCCTTGTGGAGGGTTACTTATGGAGGCTCTAGGTGGTGCAGGTGTTGCTGGAACGGGGTAGGTGTGTTTAAAAGTTGGTCTGCTCACTCCCTGTTCTCGCCTCCTGTTGTCCTGGTACTCATCCGCTAGTCTGGCTGCTTCCTCCACAGTTTTGGATTTTCTGTCCTTTACCCAGTCTTTTATATCGTCCGCTGTGTGGTTAAAAAACTGCTCCAATAGTATGAGCTGTAAGGCATCCTCCAGGGTAGTTGCTTGGCAGCCCTGCATCCAATTCCGGGCTGCCCTGTGTAGCCGGAAAGCCCATTCAGTGTGCGAATCTTTCCCTGTTTTCCGCAGTTCCCTAAACGTTTTCGTGTATGCCTCTGGGGTTACAGCATATCTGGCCAACAAAATGTCTTTTACCTTGTCATAATTGTGTATGTCCCCATCAGGTACTGCTCGCAACGCCTCTGCTGCTCTTCCTGATAGCTTGCTGCTAAGTACTGCAGCCCATTTTGTGGAGTCTAATCCCTCCAGCGCACATTGACGTTCAATGTCTTGTAAATAACTGTCAATTTCCATATCATTATCATTAAAAGTTTTAAACGCTGCATAGTTTACCTTCTTTGGTAGGTCATTTGTACTTCCCGGGGAGTGTAGCAAATCCCCCTGTAACAGTCTGTCTCGGTCCTCTCGCTCTTTTTGCGTTTGCCTGACTTGTGCCATGACCTGCAGAACCACCTCTGTTGATGGATTGGGTCCCAATACACTGAGCATCCATCTGATATAATTTTGCATCTCAGTTTCTTCCTCGTGCTCCATCTCTGTATTACTGGTTCCATCGTTCTGTATTAAATCCGCTATTACGTGGCTTTTGTCTTGTTACTTGCCACTACGCCTCGAGTTTCCAGTAAATTTTTTAGCGTGGATCTTTTAAGTAGCTGGTATTGCTGAGCCATTCATTCCCTTGCTTGGTTCAGGACGTCCATTCGGGATTCGAATCCCTCCGCTTGCCACCAGTTGTAAGGAAACCAAATATATCCAATCCTCATTCGGTAGTTTCCTCCCAAGCCGCCAGAGCATCAGTGAGTATAGCTCTCCGTTCGGTAGATGGAATAGACGAAATCCATACGAATACAAATAGCTTTACAAGATAATTCCTTTAATAAAGCATACGAATCCCCAAACATCAGCCGAAGTCAAGAAGAAGGGTACAACAGAACTGGCTTTTAATGACCACACACAGGCTTTTATGCAAGTCCCCATGCAATGGGACATCCCACAGGGAGGGACACAGTATAACCAATCGGTTACAGGAAAACAGTAAAACACACCCAGCACAAACATACAATTCCCTCCCCTAGTCCTGGAGATAATCAAGTCTGATAAAGTAATAACTTGATTATCTCCAGGCAGAAAAATCACAATTTTCCCCAATATTCAGAACACCCCTTTAGACATGGGGGTATCCCCACAAACAATATGTCCCCTGACAGCCCCGAACTGGGTGACCAACATATTCAAATTTCACCCAGATCGGTTCAGGGGTTCTCAAAAACTGTGGAAGTCCTTTGTGACCGGCTAACCGCAAGGTGGCTGCCAAAAATAGTTCCAGGAGTTTGGGTGGTTTTGCCGGTCTATTCTGTTAAGTGGTAATGACACTAATGGATTCCCCAGCGCTCTTCTAGCTATTCGGGAAAAAGAAATCCAGCGTTCGCTTGTTGAGACCGGTGTTCAGGAAGTCGAGTGTCCGATTTTAGTTCCAGACACTCGACGACCAAGTCCCGCTGCCTTTGTTTGCCTGAAAAAAGATGGCCGCCGTTTTCTCTGCCACGTGGCGTTCGGTAGTACGAACGCTGGCCGCACAGATAGAGGGTTCAATTGAAGCATTCTTTGAAGTTTAACGAGCCAGGGGGTGGTCTCTATTCGGTAGTTATATCTACCGAATAAATATGGAAGAAATAGTACACATAAAGAGGGATTTCTTCACAGAAGCCTTTCTCTGTCGAAATTGAGCTCTCTCCAGGGCCTTGTGCCAGACGTCTTTGCGGACTGCATGCCAGTTATCTTTGGATGCACCTCTGTTTTGGGGGGGTGAGGTGTTGTGAGTGTCTCCACAGATTGTAGCGCGTCTTTAATTCCCACTAAAGCAGCCATTTCAGAGCTAATAGCATTTTGAATTGCTCTTAAAATCCTTTGTAAATTGAGTAGCATGAAGGAGTAAAGACTCGGCCCAGGTGGGGGTCTTTAATAGATGACTCTGAGGGAGATGGGGAAGGTTCAATGTTTGTCAAATACTCATCATCAGGCATATGATCTGGATAGTTGGATCCTAGGATTGTCAGCCAGCATACCAGCATTTCTGCTGTGACCCATGTCTAGTAAGCTGCATAGAGCTGTTGGTTATGGGCTTCAGCTCTCATGTAGCCAGGCTTGACCGCACACAGAGGTCCCACAACCCTTTTAGGAACCTCCATTTTCAAGATCAGATTTCGTTTTCTCAAGGTCCAGGTCTTTAGACACATTTAGTTGCGACATAGATTTTTTTTTGCCATTGAGATGGTAGTAAAACCATGGATAAAGATGAATCTTTGTCAGAATCTTAGACATATCTTGGAGGAAATAGAAACCCCATACACTTGCTTTAAAACGTGTGTATGTGTGTGCCTGTGTGTATGTTTCTGCCTGTCTATGTGTGTGTGTGTGCCCTGTCTGTGTGTGTGTGTGTCTGTCTGTCTGTACATGTGTGTGTGTCTATCTGTGTGTACGTGTGTGTGTGTATGTATGTGTGTGTGTGTGTGTGCCTGTCTTTGTGTGTGTCTGTCTGTTTGTGTGTACATGTGTGTGTGTATGTGTGTGTGTAAATACCAACCATTTCCTTTCACTCATTATTCTTAGCACTAAAAAAAAAAATATTGAATAATAAATGGATGAAGCCCAAATACAGATGAGTGCTATTTTGCCTGCCAGGCTGCCACAATAATCATTGTTAGATTGTTTTTGTAAAGGTGAAGAATATTAACTTTTACACAAGCGTTATGACAGATACAAGAATTTGGGGATACATTTAATTGCACTCACACGATTTATTATACTGACCTGGGCTCCTTCCACAGCTGTAACTATTGCAAATTAATGTCAATGCAGTCCTAGGGACCATTTATAATTATATCTAGATATTGCCACTGCGCTATTTCTACATAGAAAATGAATAAAACAAAATCAGGCAAAGAAGAAATACTATGCCCTGTTTAAACGAAGGGGGTAACATAATCATAACGGTGACTATTGAATAGGTGAATTGGAGTGCTTGTTTTATTACTTTCTTCATGGAGGACACATTGATATAAGGATTTGGGGGCGAATTCAGATAAGAGAGAACTGTGGAAGGAAGTACAAACGAATCAAGCTGCTAGTTGTATCGTAACATACAGGATATCCCAATACCCATTCCAGCTGTTTAAACTCCATTACTTTATTTATTGCTACCTCCTCTGCTGGGCGGTTGTTCCTTGTAAGTGCCACTAATTAAGTGGAGTGATACTTTCTCAGTTCATCAACAAGAAGGAAAAAGTCTCAAAAGTTCTTTGACAGCTTGCTTTGTAAGTAAATGGGTTCTGCTAAAAGTGCGTTATTCCCCCTCAGATGTACCCAGTATAAATAGGAGGTATCTCAGCGACATAATGAAAAGGACACTCCACTGCCCAAATACAAAATAAATAAAAATCACTATTTAGTAGATATAACCCAATGAAAACTTGCATGCATTAAAATATATATTTTTTCATTGATATAAATCTAAAAACTGCTCTCAAAACCTTCAGATGTCTTGTCTGCAGCCTTGGCAAGCCTTCCTCTTCTAACCCCGCCCAGACTTTCTGTGACTGTCCAATCACAGACTTCCCAATACAGCTCAATGATAAGTCTTAGTAAGTCAGGTGCTCTGGGCAATTGCTACCTCTTGAGGTCAGCTGCATTGAGCTAATGAAAGCAGGAAGTAGCATTAACTGTTGTCTGCTTAAAAGCCAAGGGGGTGTAACCGGGTTAATTTCTAAAAGTATAAATTTCTATTGAAAGCTGCACTTTCTGCAAAATGAAAAAAAGAGGACACACTTTTCACACACAAAGCTTTTCAGCAAGCTAATGTTGCTGAGGGGTCTGGAGTGACCCTTTAAGTCATTCAGGCGGCTATAGGGTGGACTGGGAAGAGCGCTCTCTGCTGGGCAAGCCGGGAACAACCTCAGAAATCGAAAAAATTGCCACCACGCAGAGGAAGCACAACAGGTTAAACTTGCTAAGTGCAAGTGGATATTGATACGGTCACAAGTGTGTACAGCAAGCATGTCAAACTTGCGGCCCATGGGCGAGTGCGCAGTGTATTAATTTTAGGGATAGGGCACTGTATTAGTTTGGGGGAGAGAGTGGGTCAGTGTGTTAAATTGGGGAGAGGGCAGTGTATTAAATTGGGGAAAGAAGGGAGCAGTGTGTTAAATTGGGGAGGGAGGGCACAGGGCCGGTGCAAGGATTTTTGCCGCCCTAGGCAAAAGTAAAGTTTGCCGCCCCCCCCCCTCCCCTCGTGACATCACAATGCCCCACCCATATGACCTGCCATGTTAACTAACGCTAGTGCTGCAGTGCCGCTGTGTTTACATTAAAAGGCCTGCAGGGACAGGCTATAGACACCAGGACCACTACATTAAGCTGCAGTGGTTCTGGGGACTATAGTGTTTCTTTAATGTGAGGTAAATTAGAGATTAGTGCCACGAATAATATACTAGATTACCTACTTACAAGCAGATGAGGATGATGATGGGCTCTAGCTGCAGTCTGGCTCCACTGGTCTGGTGTATAACAGGATCTCTGGAGGCTGTTTGTAACTGTGGTCACACAAATCAATGTTCTGGGAGAACGAGAAGCAGCTCCATTTTTTGGGGGCCCTTTACACAGCTCAAGGTCTGGGTCCCAGGGTCCACCTTCATTTTCCACCAATGAGTTTGTTCACAGGGGATGGAGTGTGTAGGGGATGTCCTGATTTGTGTGTAAGGAATGCATTGTGTGAATCTGTGTTTGTATGTGTAAGGGCTGCAAGGTGTGTTTCTGTGTATGTAAGGGATGAAGTGTGTGTCTGTAAGGGGTGCTTTGAGTGTGTTTAAGGGGTGCATTGAGTGTGTGTAAGGAATGCATTGTGTGTTTCTGATTGTGTAAGGGATGCATTGTGTGTAAGGGTTGCATTGCGTGTGTGTGTGTAATGCATTGTGTGTGTAATGCATTGTGTGTTTTTCTGTGTGCAAGGGGTTCATTGTCTTTGTGTGTAAGGGGTGCATTGTGTGTGATTGTGTGTGTGTGTGTGATGGATGTCAATCTCTCCCCCCTCCCTTGTCACTCTCTTCTCCCCCCTCCCTTGTTACTCTCATTCCCCCTCCCTCCCCTGTCACTCCCCCCTCCCTGTCAATTTCTCTCTCCCCGTCAATTCCCCTCCCTGTCAATGTCTCCCCCCTCCCTGTTAGTTCCCCCCCTGTTAGTTTCTTCCCCCCACCTCCCTGTTAGTTTCTTTCCCCCCTCCTCCCTGTTAGTTTCTTTCTCCCCCCTCCCGTCAGTTTATTTCTTCCCCCCTCCCCTCCCTGTTTCTTTCTTCCCCCTCCTTCCCTGTTTCCTTCTCCCCCTCCCTCCCTACCTGTTTCCTTCTCCCCCCTCCCTCCCTACCTGTTTCCTTCTCCCCCCTCCCTCCCTCTTTCTTCCCCCTCCCCCTCCCTCCCTCTTTCTTCTCCCTCCCCCTCCTACCTCCCTGTTTCCTTCTCCCCCCTCCCTCCCTCTCTGTTTCTTTCTTCCCCCTCCCTCCCTCCCCTGTTTCTTTCTCCCCCCCTCCCTCCCTCCCTGTTTCCTTCTCCCCCTCCCCTCCCTCTCTCTGTTTCTTTCTTCTCCCCATCCCTCCCTGTTTCCTTCTCCCCCCTCCCTCTCTGTTTCTTTCTTCTCCCCCCTCCTCCTGTTTCCTTCTCCCCCCCCTCTCCCCTCCCTCTGTTTGTTTCTTCTCCCCCTCCTCCCCTCTCTGTATCTTGGCTGCCCCCCCCTCCTGTTTCCTTCTCCCCCCTCCCTCCCTGTTTGTTTCTTCTCCCCCCCTCCCTCCCCTCTCTGTTTCTTTCTTCTCCCCCCATCCCTCCCTCCTGCTTCCAGCCTCCCCCCCTCCCTCTGTTTGTTTCTTCTCCCCTCCCTCCCTCTCTGTTTCTTTCTTCACTTACCCTCCTCCCTGACAGCTTCTCCCCCCTCCCTCCCTCTCTGTTTGTTTCTTCTCCCCCCTCCCTTCCTCTCTGTTTCTTTCTTCTCTCCTCCCCCCTACCTGTGTAGTAGCGTGGCCGAGCCTAGTCTAGTCCGCGGGTACAGGGAGCTGTTGTTTCCTGTACCCGGCCGGACTAACAGGAAGTGAACACTCAGTGTTCACTTCCTGTTAGTCCGGCCGGGTACAGGAGACAGCTGCTCCCTGTACCGGTCGGACCATGCCATAGAGGGCTCGGCCACGCTACAGAGAGGGAGCTGACAGGTGGGAGCGCTGAGCGCTCCCTCCTGTCAGCCTCTCCCCATGCTGCGCCCGGGCGGTGCGGTCCGCCCTCATGGACGCACCGCCCGGGAAAAGCTGCAGCCGCCTGAGGCTCTTTACAGAGCGCTCGGGCGGCTGCAGCATGAGCGGGGCCGGTGCTCCTGGCGGCGCCCCCTCCCAAGGGGCGCCCTAGGCGGCTGCCTAGTCCGCCTAACAGGTAGCGCCGGCCCTGGGAGGGCAGTATCTTAAATTAGAGTACTGGGAGTGGGGTCAGTGTATTCAATTAGAGTGGAGGGAGGAGGGGCAGTGTATTAGATTAAGGGGCAGTGTATTAGATTGGGTGGGGGGGGGGCAGTGTATTGGATTTGGGGGCACTGTATTGGATTTTTGAGCAGTGTATTAGAATGAGGGAAGCGGGCAGTGTATTGGATTTGGGGGCAGTGTATTAGAATGAGGGGAGGGGGCAGTGTATTGGATTTGTGGGCAGAGTATTAGAGTGGGAGGAGGGGCAGTGTATTAGATTGGGTCTGCATGGAGGCCCTGAATGCTCCTCATGCAGATGCTGATTGGCCGCACAGCTTTTTGACACACATGCACAATAGCCTCCCAATTCTTTCCTATGGGAAAGCATTGGATTGACTGAGATCATCAAGTTTGATGATCTCAGTCAAAGTGAAGAACACACTCATAGGACTTCAAAATCAACAAGATAACGTAATTTGTTTTTTAACAGCTGTTTAACAGCATACATTCAACATTTCAGTGCCATTGCCAAACATTTCTTAATATGTCAAGGTAGTTGGACTGAAAAATTGGTTATTTGCAAATGCACGACTCCTTAAAATAAATTCGCTCTTTTATTTACTTTGAAGCCCTACGAGCGTGAGTACGTCCAGTGTCAGTTAGACAACTTTTTATATTGTACTTTTCTAAATAAACCTATGTTTCTATAAAAACTGAAGTTTTTGTTTTTTTGCGGCCCACGTAAATTTAAACCTTGCTTATTTGTGTTAGAATTTGAGTTTGACATGATCTACAACAAAGGGGCATTGGAGTGTATACAGTATGTATAATTCGGGGTAAGAATACTCATGTTGGATCCTCTTGCACTTCGCACAGCGACTACAGACTGTTTTACCCAAGCAGGACAAATCATATCAGAGCGCAGGTGGCACCAGAGTTTTCCAATAATTTAATGCCCATGAAGCCGCAGACATGATGGCCAGGGCCGTCTGTAATATGAATAGGATCCTGGGCAAAGCATTTTCTTTGGCCCCCAGGCCCTGCCCCTTCCCACCACCCCCAATTACACCCAACCCCCAATCACACTGACACATACACACACAGACAGATATATTAAAACATTCACAGATACATACTAACACACATATACACTGACACACAAATATATCCTGGCAGACATATCGACATACATTCAGGCATACTGACACACACACATACATACATACATACACACACAGACACATACACTGACAGATATACTGAAACACACACAGACACATACACTGACAGACGTATTGACACACACACACAGGCACAGACATGCTGACACACAGGCATACTGACATACACACACACACACACTGACACATACACACACACACACTGACATACTGACATACACACACACACACACACTGGTAACATGGTAACAACCTCTGGTAACATGATAACTACCTCTGGTAACATGGTAACAACCTCTGGTAACATGGTAACTTCCTCTGGTAACATGGTAACAACCTCTGGTAACATGGTAACAACCTCTGGTAACATGATAACTACCTCTGGTAACATGGTAACAACCTCTGGTAACATGATAACTACCTCTGGTAACATGGTAACAACCTCTGGTAACATGGTAACTTCCTCTGGTAACATAGTAACAACCTCTGGTAACATAGTAACAACCTCTGGTAACATGCTAACTTCCTCTGTTAACATGGTAACAACCTCTGGTAACATGATAACTACCTGTGGTAACATGGTAACAACCTCTGATAACATGCTAACTTCCTCTGGTAACATGATAACTTCCTCTGGTAACATGGTAACAACCTCTGGTAACATGATAACTACCTCTGGTAACATGGTAACAACCTCTGGTAACATGATAACTACCTCTGGTAACATGGTAACAACCTCTGGTAACATGGTAACAACCTCTGGTAACATGGTAACAACCTCTGGTAACATGATAACTACCTGTGGTAACATGGTAACAACCTCTGGTAACATGATAACTTCCTCTGGTAACATGGTAACAACCTCTGGTAACATAGTAACAACCTCTGGTAACATGATAACTACCTCTGGTAACATGGTAACAACCTCTGGTAACATGATAACTACCTCTGGTAACATGGTAACAACCTCTGGTAACATGGTAACAACCTCTGGTAACATGGTAACAACCTCTGGTAACATGATAACTACCTGTGGTAACATGGTAACAACCTCTGGTAACATGATAACTACCTCTGGTAACATGGTAACAACCTCTGGTAACATGGTAACAACCTCTGGTAACATGGTAACAACCTCTGGTAACATGATAACTACCTGTGGTAACATGGTAACAACCTCTGGTAACATGGTAACAACCTCTGGTAACATGGTAACAACCTCTGGTAACATGGTAACTTCCTCTGGTAACATGATAACTTCCTCTGGTAACATGGTAACAACCTCTGGTAACATGGTAACAACCTCTGGTAACATGGTAACATCCTCTGGTAACATGGTAACTTCCTCTGGTAACATGGTAACAACCTCTGGTAACATGGTAACATCCTCTGGTAACATGGTAACTTCCTCTGGTAACATGGTAACAACCTCTGGTAACATGGTAACAACCTCTGGTAACATGGTAACTTCCTCTGGTAACATGGTAACTTCCTCTGGTAACATGGTAACAACCTCTGGTAACATGGTAACTTCCTCTGGTAACATGGTAACAACCTCTGGTAACATGGTAACAACCTCTGGTAACATGGTAACTTCCTCTGGTAACATGATAACTTCCTCTGGTAACATGGTAACAACCTCTGGTAACATGATAACTTCCTCTGGTAACATGGTAACAACCTCTGGTAACATGGTAACATCCTCTGGTAACATGGTAACAACCTCTGGTAACATGGTAACAACCTCTGGTAACATGATAACTTCCTCTGGTAACATGGTAACAACCTCTGGTAACATGATAACTTCCTCTGGTAACATGGTAACAACCTCTGGTAACATAGTAACAACCTCTGGTAACATGATAACTACCTCTGGTAACATGGTAACAACCTCTGGTAACATGGTAACAACCTCTGGTAACATGGTAACAACCTCTGGTAACATGGTAACTTCCTCTGGTAACATGGTAACTTCCTCTGGTAACATGGTAACAACCTCTGGTAACATGGTAACTTCCTCTGGTAACATGGTAACAACCTCTGGTAACATGGTAACAACCTCTGGTAACATGGTAACTTCCTCTGGTAACATGATAACTTCCTCTGGTAACATGGTAACAACCTCTGGTAACATGATAACTTCCTCTGGTAACATGGTAACAACCTCTGGTAACATGGTAACATCCTCTGGTAACATGGTAACAACCTCT